GCCCCCCTCCCCGTGATGTCAGTATTGAGTTTCTGTATTAACTTGTCTCTTTTATTGAGAAATTACACGAACACTAGTCTTTGTCAGGTCAAATGGAGTTAATTCTCTTTTGGTCAAAAAGATGTTGGGAATAATTTGATGTTAGGAACAATTTGTTTCTTTGAACGGAGGGTGTACTCTAGCGAGTGTTTTAATATTTCAACTTTATTTGCAGATAAAGTTCATTGTTGACGGAGAATGGAAGATTGATCCTTTACGCCCCACCACACAAAACAACGGATATGAAAATAATCTACTCGTCATTACATGAAAGTTAAGCCCGCCATTGAAATACTTATTATTTAGTAAGGTCTTATTCAGAATTCAACCTTTGTAGGTGTGGGTAATTAGTTGAATTATCACTATAGAGGACATTTGGTTGCAACGAAAAGTGTTTTTCCCTGAAAACAATGGAATGCATTCCCAGTGCCGAGAGACGGGATTTGGACTCCATGGAAAGGCTTTGCATGGAAACAACAAAATGCCCTCTTAGACTGTCATCTTAATGGTTTCTTTTATTATTTCTGTAGCACAAGTTTTACTAATATGAAAATGTTCTTTTAAAAAAATACTATCATAATAGTATAAATTATTTAAAATACTATCATTAATGTATTAGTTAAAATAATTGGTTAAAATTTATCATCTTTGACTTGAAAAGTCATAGATGATTAAATAAAAAGGGTCGGCTGTAGTAGTGAAAGTTGATAATATTTTAAAATAGAGAGGATTAAAATGAAAAGGCTTAATTACGTTTTTAGTCTTTGCAAATATGGTGCACTTAAGTCCTTGCAATTTTTGTTTTTTATCCCCTCTGCTATGCACTATTTTGTCTATAATCCATATCTAATTCTGAAACTATTGTACTTGGAAAAAAGTTACTGTCAGTTGTAAAACTAATTATACATATTTTAAAAATATACTAACTCCGTCCCTTAAAACTTTACCAAAGTTGACTGGTACGGAGAATAATAAAAAAATTGTATGGTTGAGGTTGTGCAGAGGAGAGAAACAACAGAAACTACAAATAAGTGATTAAAAGGGAAAGTGACAAAGTTTTTTGGGATGTCCCAAAAAGGAAAGATGATAAAGTTTTAAGGGACGGAGCCTATATATATATCTCGAACTTTATATAAAAATTTATTTTCGCACTATGATTGTTATTTTTTTATAAATACAAGTTTATTAGGATAAATACATAATTTAAAACAATCAAATCTTTGTTACAATGCAATTAACATTCTCAAATTTCATTTGTTAAATAAATAATACTCCCTCCGTTCCCAAAAATACTTCCTACATTCCTTTTTGGGTTGTTCCCAAAAATACTCCCCACTTTCCCATTTTGGATAATTTGTGTGGCTCACATTCATTTTACTTTTTTCTTACACAACCACAACCAGTGATGGACCTGGGCCGTTCCGGTTCCGGGCCGGGCCCGGGCCGGTTTTTTTGCAAATCCTTGGGCCCGGAACCGGTCCGGATTGATACCGGGTGCAGGCCGGGCCGGGCTCGTTTCAATGTCTATTTTTTTTTGCTTTCTTGTTATCCCCCGACCTCCCTCCCCCCAAAACACCTAGCCCTACCCTAGGAAAAGAAAAAAAATTGAAAAACAAAAAAAAAATTGACCTGGGCCCGACTCGAACTGCCCGGGCCGGTTCGCCCAAAACTGGGCCCGAGCCTGGCTCGCCCAAACGGGCTAAAAGCCTGGAACCGGCCAACCAGTCCCGGTCCGGTCCGGGCCCACACAGTAGCGGGCCGGGCGGTTTCAGGCCGGGCCGGCCCAGTATAGTCCATCCTTAACCACAACCATACATTTCCATTTTATTCCACTTTCTTAATAAGCGTGCCAAGTCAAACCGGGAAGATTTTTTAGGAACAGAAGGAGTATAACATGCTGTAACATTTAATTTTAATTACATTCTCATAAATGTTGTGTATTTTAAATTATGTACTTGACACCGTAAAATTACACTTATGAAAAATATGATCATGATGCTAACATAACTTTTTATATAAAATTTTGAGTATACATATATTATATATACAAATTTGAAGTACTTATCTAAGACCCTTTCATAATTTAGAATATTTAAATTATTTTCTCCTTAATTCTATTTAGGAAAAACCAAACATATGATCTTATTTTTAGAAAAAGACTATGTTCTACTCATACAATAAGCAATGTCCGCATTGACACTTCCCTCAAGTATTTGTAAATTTTTGGGGAGTTGACATGAAACTCAGATGGTTACAAAAAATGGAAACAAAAAATCGGACAAGATATATTCTGGTTTTGATCCGGATCCAGACCAGAATAAGGGATGGATTCGGTTCGGGCCACCCGGCCCGTGACCCGGCCCGGCTCGGTACTGTGCGGGCCCGGGACCGGCTCGGTCGGGTGGTCCGGGACCGGGTATGGACCCGAACCGATGGGAAGGGGCGGGGGCGGGCTCGGTTCTGGATTTTTGTGACCCGGCCGGGTCGGGCCCGGGCCCGGGTCCGGGTTTATTTAAAAAAAAAAACTTTTTTTTGTTTGGTTTGGCTACTAGCCGTTGGGGCCTTGGGGTGGGGCTGGGGACAACCCAAACGGCTATATAGCCGTTGGGTGGGGTAAAGGGGGGGGGCGGTCCGGGGGGGTTGGCTGGTGGGGGTGGGGGGTAAAAAAACCTAAAAATACTCCTGATCTTAAACATTTTTTCATATCTCTTCTCCAATTCTTCCTAAATCCTATTCTTAACTCTCTACTCTCTAATTCTCTTATTTTCCAATATATTATATTTATTATTTATATATCTACTTTATAGTTTATACTTAAGAAGTTAAGATGGAAAATCAAGATGCCATTATACGGTATAATTTTGATAAGCAGAAGGACCCGAAGACCGGGATGTGGTACGCAATTTGCAAATGGTGCGAGAAAAAATGTAACATGGGGGCTTCAGGCGGATTCGGGATGGCAATCAAGCATATGAAGTCATGTGACAAAGCCAAAGGATCGGGAGGTGCGGGAAGTTCCGATTGATTACAATTTTCAAAATGTTGGAATCTTAAAGTTTGTTTTAATTTTCAAATGTAGTTCCTATTTCATTTCAAATAAATGCAATTGAAGTTTGTTTTTAATACTCGTATAAAACTATAAACTATAAAATATAAATTATAAAAAAAAAATTAACCGGCCCGGCCCGAACTGGATCCGACCCGTGACCCGGGCGGGTGGCCCGGCCCGAACCGGACCCGTCCAACCCTCGGGCCGGTCTCGGGCCCACTTTTCTTGAATCGGCGGCCCGACCGGGCTTAGGCCCGGCCCGGGCCCGACCCGGCCCGAATCCATCCCACCAGATTAATCGATTCAAAATCAAAATCGGACCGAGAGAACCGGTTTCTATAGCTATTTCATATTATTACTACTTCCTCCGTCTCATTTTCCCTGTCCTACTTTCTTTTTTGGGCTGTCCCAAAATAAGTAGCTTCTTTCTTTTTTGGAGAGATGCGATTTATGTCATTTCACTTTATTATACAAAAACATCAATCACAACATTTACTTTTTCAACCACCTCATTAATTTTTTTGGGTAAGCAATCCACTTCATTAATAATCGTGTCAAGTCAAAGTGAGACACATAAAATTGGACGGATGTAGTATTAATTAATATATTAAAAAATATAGCAAAATTGGTTTAATCCAATGTTTAAACCAGAATAATCTGGTTTTTAAGCAGAAACCGGATTTACAATATTTAGAAACAGGGAAAAGGTTAGTTCAGTATATGAAGTTGCACCGTGAGGAGTAAAGAGTACATCATCTTGCAAATCAAATACAATGGTACATATAATCGCATGTCTAGTGCTAAACTAGTACAAAAACGAACGTTTAAACCAGAACAATCTGGTTTTTAACCAGAAACCGAATTTACAATATTTAGAAACAGGGAAAAGGTTAGTTCAGTATATGAAGTTGCACTGTGTGGAGTAAAGAGTACATATAATCGCATGTCTAGTGCTAAACTAGTACAAAAACGAACGTACCATTAAAAAACGCTAACGTGCCAATTAAGATCTGTTTTCTTCATACATGTGGAGGCTGACACAGCATCCTCCCATCCCCTCTTTTGGGATTTGTGGAAAAGATGTACCAGGGGTAACCATGCTGGCTCGTGCGTATGAAGTAAGCCCTAGCTGCTACTGGTTCTTCCGCAGTGGCCTTTGGCTTGTGTCTCTGATGGAGAGGAGCGTGACGCCAATGTTGCGGCTGCTTGTGCTGTGAGTGAAGCTCTCTAGCGGCCCTTAATGGTGGACCTTGGAAAATTAGAGACTCCTTTCATATCTAGCCTTTGGGTTATACATATGAAGTTCTCAGCCCATTTCGTCGCTCCAGCTGAGGCAGAGAACCTCCAGAGCCGGTGGCAAGATTTTGCAGCAACTGGTGAGCTTCACTTGACGGCGCACAGCGAAGCCCTGAACAACAATGACCTAGATGACGACGAAGCGAGCTTCACTTGACAGCGCACAGCGGAGCCCTGAACAACAATGACCTAGATGACGACGAAGCACAGTTCGGACCTGGAGGGATGAAATAAGAGCGGTGGTGTCGTGACGGAGGTCAAGGCGCTGTGTTGGCCACTGTCGAGTGGTAGAGCTAGCCGTGAGAAGCACGTAGAAGGTAGTGAAGATCATAGTTCCGTTTGCCAAGTCAGCAATGTTAACCTTATAATGTAAGATATATACTGCTTTAACACCAAACAACAGAGTACAAGCATTTTTACGTTTCAGTTGCAAATTGATGTACTCTTTACTACACCGCTCTCAACTTCATTTACTTAATTGACCATTTTCCGAAAACCGGACTAGACACCATCCGGGTAGGGTCAGTTTCGGTTTTTCCGGTCCGGTCCGGTTTTCTGATTTGAAACTCTTTATGCACACCCCCTAAAGATTCACGTAATATCAACTGTAAGTGATGGGAACTAAAAAAAGACATTTACCCATATAAAACAGAAGTGACATACACTCCGTATTTATTAAAAATTGTCTCTTAGCTTGTATTTTTGTTATATACATCTGGGGGCTACACTTTTCTCCTGGAACTGCTTGCTGCAAGAACATAGAACACTTATTTGAACACCCAGCTCGGTCAAGTCAAAGCTTCCTCCTCAGTTGATCCTTGGATGTGCTCTCAAATATCTTGTCGGCATTTCCTACCTCGAAGCCATCACGCCGGTGAAATTCCCTAACCTGTTATAAATCCACATGCATGGTGAGGACCAAACGGGTAACCAAATCCAAGGATGTACTTTTTTAATAACTTCTGATCAATGGACGTAGGGTGAGGAACCCCATAAAAACTACTCCCTCCTGTCCAAAAGAACCAAAAAGTTACAGCTCCGTTGTCATCACACTAACCAAATTTTAATCAAAGGTAATACTTAATGATTTGCCAAAAAAGATTCACGTAATAATATCATTAATTTACATGTTATTCTCTCCATCTTAATAATTTTGTGTATTACTTTTTCTTATACTAGTATTATTTAATCAGCTAGATAAAAAACATTTGAAACAAATCATACTACAAAGGTCCAGACCAAACCATACAGATCAAGGCTACACCAGGGGTGTCATAAAGATAAAAAACATTCATTCCAGGCAAGATAGTAACAATCCTTCACCCAACATTATGATGTACTGATATGATATTGGAATTACTTTTTTGTTGAGTGAATTCCTAAAACACATAATTAATTGAGACTTTAACTTATTTATGTAGACTTACATCTTCCTCCGGTAAATCTTTGTATTCGGGCAAGACAAGACGTTCAGCAAATTCAATGTATGAACATGCAACTGTTTCCGTATTCCCATCCGAGAACTGAAAAGGCGCAGAATCAGCAACTGTTGAACTTTGTAGCAGAAGACCATCACGGCTCACTGGAAAGAAAAGAAAAAGAAATTGTTACTTTCTCCTCTTTCAGTATTTGGAGAAAAATTTAGTACTTTGACCAACCAATGATGTTTTCTTCCTGTATTTAGTGAGTCACTTAAACAACTTGAAGCCCACTTTGAAAGATGTGGCGAAACTTTAGTGTTTCGGACATTGATTACCCGATGCTCTTTACTACGTTACACACCAAGCCAGCATAAAAACAGTAACACATAAGAATGATGATATAAAGAAACAATGTAGATTGTGTCGGGCACAAAATCTAAATGTTGCCTAAAGCAAGATATGGAGGATTGGAAGCAAAAAGCCTTAGAGGCCATTTGGTATGGATTAAAAACGCGTGAAAAGACTGAATTTGCTGAAACCTCTGCATGTGCTAAATTGTGTAAACACTAAACAATTTATTTATAATATAATTCAAACAAGTTCAAAACAAACCTATATAAGAATAAAGGTACAAGTATTAAATTCACCCATTCCCACCCAAAAAATGCATGCACAACTTTCTTCGTGATCAGCAAATTAAGTTAGTTTTTGGTATAAAAATTTGTTAATAACAAAAAATGAGGACTACCAAACAAAACCTTGACCTCAAAGTACTACATAACATACTTTTGAAGCATAGAAGGTGTTGAGAACAGTAGACATTGGTAACTCACCTTTCAATATACCGCCTTCAGAGTTCAGTTTAAAACCGCTCTCTTCAATGAACCGATTGAAACTTCCAATATGATTTAAGCTTGATTTCAGGTGATGAGTAGATATAGTAACATGATTCAAAGCATAGCCATTGACAAGCGTCCAAGCAGCATATTCACTTTCACTAGAATTACATAAAAGGACAAACGCAAATGGGTAGTGATGATTTTGAAGGAGATTGAAGAATTACATTATTGTATGTTAGGGAGTTTCGTTTTGAAGGGGAATGAAGGGGAGAGACTATTTTTATTTTAAGATTAAAGAACTGTGTATGGTGTATGATACAATTAAAAGGCCAAAATTTTATGTTTATACTTATTTACATCTTTTATTTGGAAGGGGAGCCTTGGAGCACCGATTAAGGAGTTGTTGGGTGACCGAGAGGTTACGGGTTCAAGTCTTAGGAGCGGCCTCTTGTCAAAAAATTGACAGGAAAGGCTTGCCCCTTATACATCCTTGTGGTGGGACCCTTCCTAGGACCCTCTCCTTGCGAGATGCCTTCATGCACCAGGCTACCCTTTTTATATCTTTTATTTTTAAACTTTTCGAACTAAAAAAAATCTTAAATGTGAAAATTGACCCTCTATCCCCCCTCCAAAATGCAACTCCACCAAATACACCATTAAAGAACATATAAGTCGGTGCAAATGACTACTGAGACAACAGTTGAAATTCACAAAACGAGGGCTTTTTCCAGGTGAGGCAATCCAATACAGTTGCAAGAGCTGCATGCCCATATCCACTGCCTGATATATTAATATACTTTCTAATTATTTCCTGAAAAAAAGATGAAAGAGTGACAGAATTAAAAAACAGTTCGCTACCCCTGTTGCTCATCTCTGTGGCCCCTTTTCATCATCATCATATTCATAAGTATTATATTGGATCTGACTTATCCCAACAACAAATATTCCTCAACAGAAAGGGCTTACCTAAAGTATACTTCATCCGTCCCATTTTATCTGTCTTACTTTTCTTTTAGGGTTTTTAGGGTTGTCCCCAAAATAAGTGTCATGTTTCCTCTTTTGAAAACAAATATGTGGTCCACATTATTTCACTTTATTATACTTAAATCTCAACCACAACTTTTACTTTTTCAATCACTTAAATAATAATTATGTCAAACCAAATCAAGACACATAAAATGGGATGGAGGTAGTACATATTAGACTCACGATGGTTCTCAAGAAGAGAGAAATACCTCACACCTATATAGAGATTCAAAACCAGTAAACATCAGATGTGGGACATTAGAGATCACCTTAATCCCAACTATGCTAGGTCACTTACACAAAACGTAATGCGTCAATTAATCATCAAGAATTAGTTGACAATAAATCCATGTAAACAATCAATACATAATGATAAGTTTGACGTCAAATGCCCTTCCTAATGCAACCTTCACTATCGGTCCCATGACTATCAGGTCAGATCCAATTTGGTATACATTTTGTTTTTCACTTTACAGTGCATGATTAAGGCTAATTGTCGCTTTGGATCCTCACAAATCAAAATCAACAGAAAGTTGTTCTAAAATTGGACCATTAAGTGCTCTGCAGTTGGAAGCAAGAAATCCATGGTCATGCACAAAAAGTGAAACAAAATGAAAGCCGGGGAACCAAAAGTGAGGGTCATCTTTAGTGGTGAGAACAAACAAACAACAACATCCCAGCCTTAGTCCCAAAAGATATTGGGGTCGGCTAACATGAATTGATACATGATATCACCACCAAAAGGAAAAGAAAGAAAAAAAGATAAGCTATTATAAAAAAGAATATAAAAAGAGATGAATATACATAAAAATGATAAAATAAAAAGGATACAAATAATGTTTATATATATAAGGATAAAAGGATAAAAAAACAAGGAAAAAAAGATGAGAGGAAAAGATGATACGAGATCACTTCTCCACACGAATACCCGCCCTCCACTTTGCTCTCTCCATAGCCATACCCTCATCCAACCCAAGAAGAAGCATATCACTTCGGACTTTCGGACTCCCCTAACCCACGTCTGTTTGGGCCTTCCTCTCCCTCTCTTCCCTACCTCTTCTCCACACATCTCAACTCGTCTGACAGGTGCATCACTCGGTCTTCTACGCACATGACCAAACCACCATAGACGCGACTCCCGCATCTTGTCTTCAATAGGTGCTACTCCCACCCTTTGCCTGATTGTCTCATTCCTCATGCGGTCCTTCCTAGTACGCTCACACATCCAACGCAGCATGTGCATCTCTGTCACACTCATGTTTTGAATGTGACATTGTTTCACCACCCAACACTCTACACGATAAAGTAATGCAGGCCTAATTGATGTCCTATAAAATTTACCCTTCAGTCTAGTCGGCATACCTCAACCGCATAGAAATCTGGACGCACTCTTCCACTTCATCCACCTTGTTCTGATTCTATGGGATACATCTCCATCTAACTCACCGTCCTTCTAAGTTATGGAGCCCAAGTAACGAAACGTTGACCGGTATCTTCTTGCCATCTAGAGTAATTCCGCTATTACCACTGCTTCTACCTCCACCAAACTTGCACTTCCTGTACTCTGTCTTGCTACTTAGTCCGAAACCCTTATTCTCCAATGTTTGTCGCCACACTTCCAACTTTGCTTTAAGATCTGATTGCGTCTCATCAATCAATACAATATCGTTGGCAAACATCATGCACCACGGTATATCGTCTTGAATTGACTTCGTAAGTCCATCCATGACTATGACAAATAAGAAAGGGTTCAACGCCGATCCTTGGTGCACTCCGATAGTAATAAGGAACTCTTCAGTCCTCCCTACACTAGTACGGACGCTTGTAGTACAATCCTCATACATATCCATGATGATGCTGATATACTTGTGTGATATGCCTTTTCTAGTTAAGGTCTACCAAAGAACTTCTCGAGGAACCCTATCATATACCTTTTCTAAGTCAATGAACACCAAATGCACATCCATGTGAGCATCTCCATACTTCTCCATAAGTTGTCGAAGAAGGTGAATGGCCTTAGTAATTGAGCGACTAGGCATAAAACCAAATTGATTCTCTGAAATCTTCACAGTTCTTCGAAGTCTTTGCTCAATCACTCGCTCTCAAAGTTTAATGGTGTGACTCATAAGCTTAATCCCTCGATAGTTGGCACCTTCTTGTACATCACATTTATTCTTAAATAAGGGGATAAGAGTACTCTTCCTCCAACTCGTTGGCATGTTGTTTCTCCAAATCATGTTGAAGAAACTTGTTAACCACTCAACGTCTCTCTCCGAAACTTCTCTAAGCCTCGATCGGTATGCCATCTGGACCCACTGCTTTCTTCTACCCCATCTTCCTCAGAGCTTCTTTAACTTACGTTGTTTGGATCCTTCTCACAAAATCAGGATTTACCATACAATCTGGTATGGTCAAATCACCGATATCTTGCACTTTGTTCCCGTTGAATAATGTATCAAAGTATGACCTCCACCTCTCTTTTATCAATCCACCCTCCATTACTATCCTTTGATCGACATCCTTCACACACGTAACTTTTGCGATATCTTGAGTCCTGCGATCACCAAGACGAGCAAGTCTATAAATATTTAGTTCTCCTTCCTTAGAGTCCAACTTTTCATACAACTCCTTGTTCACAAAACTGGAATTTATTTTCATTGACATGAATAAATGAATAATATCGAGATGAAATGTGAGTTGAGATAATTTCTCACTAACATGTAACATACTGTTTTCCATCATTTGCAATGGAGCCAAAGACTCACTATTTTTTGTCTTGGGATATGATGGAATAAAGCAAAATGTCTTACTAAACTGTTTGCGCTTCTTTGTTATGAAGTAGCAGCCGGTCCATGTAATTTTCGACGCATTTTTCACTATGGGTCATCCGGAAACAGTCTCTTTGTGCTTTAGTACAGGGGTAAGACTGCGTACATCTGACCCCCTTTACCCCACCGAAGGTGTGGGAGCCTTTGCGGCAATGGGGTAATGATGATGATGACATGTAACATACTCCAAGAAGAACTACTAAGGGAATGTTTGCAAAATTGCAAGAGCTCTAGCATTTCAACTTTTTGCAAAAGGTGTTGATGGGTGACCAAGAGGTCATGAGTTCATGTCGTGGGAGAAGGGCTCTTGTCAAAATGACAAGGGAAACCGTGCCCCCTATCCGCCCTTGTGGTGGAAGTGTGGAACTCTTCCCAAGACCCTCACTTTGCAAGGACACCATATTGTGCATCGGGGTGCTGTTTTCCAAGCTTTTTAATTTAAAAAAGATGAAATTATTGCTTTCAAGTTTCAAATGCTTGTTTCCACTTAAAATAAGCACTTCCAAGGTAAGAGCAGGTATAGGGGTGCCTCTAACTGCTTTTTAGTTTTTTTTAAATAACTTGAAATTTGAGGATAGCTATAATGCTTAGTATAATCAGTGGAAGTCCAAAATACCCTTCATCTTTCGTATTCTTAATATTATGCATGATTATTATTTTGATAATTCCTTATAGCAACACACTGCACCTTTTCACACTACAAAGTACAAAGGATAGTAGAGGAAGTACATCACACCCAACCCATTTCCTAGATTACTACAATCTTTGCATACTGCAGCTGAAATGTAAACCCACACTCTCCAGCACAAGATCTGTTTTCATTTACATCACACTGCCAGCTGGCCGGAAGGAGATCAAGTGTTTGGATTCCCGTAACTTGACCACCACCTCGACAACAAAAGTTCTTGTGTTACCGCTGGGGTGGAGGCGGAGATGTGGAGGATATACTTCATTCCGTCAACCACCTGATCTTCCGCCTTGAAAACTTTCAAAAATGTCAGGTGGCCTTACTTCACCAACGGATATATATAGGGTGCGGTTCCAATGAGAACAACGCTTATCGTGAGAACATGAGAACAATCACTTTTATCCCAATGCGATGCACAATGGAGTACATCTATTTCACTTTTTAACTTTGATCAAATCAAGCCAATGTCAAATAAACACGGTGTCATTTTGGTAAATATTATGTCAACACGAAAAAGTGCATCAAACGAGTTTTATTGTGCATCACATTGGGGTAAAAGTGTTTGTTCTCACGTTCTCATGAATCATGATAAGCATTGTTCTTGTTTGATCCGGAACCTTTATTATATATATACAATTTATGTAAGTGGTTTTTGTACTTTCACAAAATATTTCATCGAAAATCACTTTTTTATCAAACAATATAACTTTAACTTTTCACCTTAATCACTTATGTTCTAAAACACTATGAACTTTTACTATTACGCACTTTCTATACAATCACTTCAAAGAATCACTTTCTTTAAGTAGAAATAAAACAAACACTCCCTAAGATGTTTAAGTCAAACATTTCAATATACAAGTATATTGGAGGAAGCAACTCCACACAAACCTGAGCTTCTGGACTCAATTGATCAACAAGAAGTTCTGATATGAAAATTCTTGGCAAGGGCCCACTAACACGAGTTCCATCTTCAGAATGCAACAATTTAGGTGGAGAGAACCAGAAAGCCTTCAACTTCTTTGCAGGGAACCTCAGCTCTTCCCGTTTCACATAACCAAAGTCCAAGAAAAATTTGGCTATGGAATCAATTCCATGTCCATTTACCTATAGTTAATGTATCAAACAAACATAGAAGAAAGTGAGGCCAATTAAGTACTTTACTGTTTCTGTTAAAATATTTCACGTCCTGGAATTACCCACACATTGTCCACATATAAGAGTTGACGTTCTTAACTTTATTGTTTAGGTAGTTAACTCGTTTATGTCAATGGACCTTTTAGGATAATTGTCTAACCATACCATCCACATATAACTAATTCCAAGTCTATTTCTCTGTATAGTAAAAGAGAGCAGACCAAATGCTCTTATTTTCCAAAAAAAAGGAAAAAAGAAAGCAGACCAGACTGTTCTGCATCTTTAAGGTAAACTAATCACAGATGTAAGAAAAGATATCCAACCAAGCACCTCATGGTTTCTGTTTAAGTATCCCACATCTAGAAATTACCCACATGTAATCCACCATATAAGAATTGGATTTATTGCCTCTAGCTATGAACGTTGAGACTCACATATTAACTACATATTACCTTGAAATTTTTAATTTTTTCTTTTTTAGTATCATAAAAGTGTAACTTCCAATTTAGATTGACAAATTGGTGACTTTTTAGACAAAATATTAACAAAGTGGGGAACATAAGAAGAAACGTTACCCCAAAGGTCCTGAATGCAAAATGGTCATAGCAAATCCGATCGCCATAGGCGGATTGAATGAGCTCCAAGATGGCTTTGGCTGTAGGGTTTTTGTTCAGATAAACTTCTTCCATTCTACTCAAAACACTCCTGAAGAACAACTCACTTCCCTACGTACTCACAATAACGTTACAGTCACTAAGCATCCAATAAATTTAAAATTTAACCACAACAAACAAAAGAAAGCGTACAATATTCAAGAAGCTTCAGTAGATAAGGGTATATATAATGGGCACCTGAAAAGTCAAATCTCGGGATCCATTTTCGTGAAGTGAAGCTGAGAGAGTGGAGAGGCATTTCATCGCTCTTTTCGAAAGCAGAACATCAACGCGAGGGATAGTTTTTAAGGAGATTAGGCTATGGTTGGAAAACTGACAAAGAAGATGTGAAGGAGGATGAAAGTCGGTGGATTTGAGGAAAGAACGAGATGATAAGCGGAAAGAAAACAAAGAGGAAGGACTTCTGATCATGGTTCCCATTCAAAGATTTTAACCTCTTTTCTCTTCTTGGTTTTTTTGCTTCAGCTAGTCTGATCCAAACAATTTCTTAGCAAGAGTATAAGATGAATAAAACGTGAATGCAGCCAGGTACCTTGCTGTATTAATCAAAGCAGATATTACACCAACATTTCCTGTGGTACATCTTCTTGTACACATCAGTACACCCTCGTGTCTGTGAGAGTTTTTTTGTCCGTGAATCTCAGTTCACGGACAAAAACTGGCTTGTCTTGTCTGCGAGAAATTCTACAGACAAAACAAGTCTGTTTTTGTCTGTGCACTAGGATTCACAGACAAAAAAACTCTCACAGACACGAGGGTGTACTGACGTGTATAAGAAGGTGTACAAAAAGAAATTTTGGATATTACACTAGGTGTAGAAGAATGTTCCAAAAAAAACGTTGGTAAAATATACTCCTTCGGATAAGAGGTTGGGACAAGAGGGAGTACAATGGGACAAGAGGATGGCATAAAAGGGAGTGACACGCAAATTAATAAAAAGTGGTTTATGTGGTTGATATTGATAAAGTAAGAATAAAGTAAGAATGATTTAGAGCCACACAAACTTTACCAAATTTGGTATGAGACAATCTTAGTGGGACGGACCGATAAGGTTAAATGGGACAATCATAGCGGGACAGAGGTAGTATCCTACACCATTGATATACCAAGAATATACAACAGGCTGTATGATGGCAGCCCTACACCCGGAAGCAAATTTGTAATTTTGGTGAAAAAACACGACTTCTCTTGAATGAGCATTAACACAATTTTGGTGAGTATCAAACTTGTTCTATTGAATATTAGGAGCTTAAGAATGAACATTATTGTTCTCTGCTTCATATCTTCTAATTCACTTTGTTTTTATTATTTTTAAATTATCTACAATGAACTCGTATGAATCCAATATGTGAATTTAATGTAATATTATACTTTTAAAATATGCATCAATATGACATTTTAAAATGAGTATTACACCAAAGCTTACATAAATAACGAAATGAGCATTGAAAAAAAATCAAATAACCCATTTAAAATGTCTGCTATGCTCAGAATTTCTTTTGTGTATGTTATACATGTAAAACTACGTATAACTTGGATTTCTCCTAACCTACAACCAACAAGTGACCAAACTCGCCAAACATGTATAAGAAAAAGAGAAAAAAGAAAATAGTGCGAAAAAGAAAGAGTCCAACTAGCCCTATACATCAGCCAGAGTCGCCGTCTACGCAAGCGGGAGTCCAAAGTCTGAGGTGCTGCGTTCAGTCGGGAGTCTGGCAAGTCATCTGTGAATGACAGCGAGCGAAAAGCATTCAGCGAACAACAGTGCGAACCATCGAAGTGCGAACGGTGATTTGCGATGGAAGCTAGCGATCGATCTGCAAACTAAAAGGCCAGTTGTAATGTGCCCACGGTACAGCCGGTTGTATGATATGTTTTACCAATGCCTATGGGGACGTTAGTTTTCAGGTTCCATTCCCGAAATTTAATATTATTAGTACTTAAACTCGTGCTCTACTCAACCAAAAATCTACTAATTAAAGTGATTCCTTACTACTAAACATATTGTTGATATGGTCACTAAAATTTAGAAATAATGACCCCAATATTACTACCCATGTTTTCATTTCCAAATATATGACTCATTTTACTTTTTCCAAAAAAGTTACTCCTTTAAATTGAATGGGCCTCAAATGTTAACCTTAAAACCATCTAATATCATCGATCTATGCTTCAGCCTTTGGTATGCAGCCGCTGCCTTGCTCTCGCTCGCCGGACACCGCATCACCTCTCTCACTCGTCGACCGCCGCTGCTTCACGTCTCACATGACGTCCGTCACTGCTTCACCTCAAGCATCATCGCCGCCGCTTCATCTCTCGATCTCCAACGCTGTTGATTCATCTCTCAAGCACCATTACCACAACTTTTCTTTTTCTTCTCTTTTCTATCGGCGATTGGAGGGCCATTGATAAGCAATGGTGAGAGTCGGGAGCCCACGTCCTCACGCCTTAGCCGCTCGTCGTTGCCTCCTCGCCTGAGCCGCTCGCCATCGGTGTTGAAGCTCTGGAAGGGAATCTGGGCTACGGATGGGGGGCACGGGCAATGGCCGGACCAGGGGCCGGGTGGGGAAGGGGATAGTGGCGGTTGTCAGAGAGGAGGAGCGACAGTAAGTTACTGGGGCAGGTGTTGCGGCGGATTGGGGGTAGGGTGATGGGGCAAAGCTAGGGCTTTGGGGTAGTGGCCGGGAATAGGACAGTAACTGGGACATGTGGCAGGGGAGTTGTTGGTGGTCACTGACCGAGATCGTGGTGGTCACTGAACAGGCGGGTCACTGGCGGTAGTCATTGAGTGGTTGGAACGGCGTGGCGACAGTTTCCGGTGTAGAATTGTGGACGTTGTATAACATTTGGCCTGAAAAAAAGTCGTCGGAAAATTTTTCGGCGACACAGTGACACGTTTCACGGTGATAGTGACATGAAAATCAGTGATGACATAAAATAGTGACATAAAAATCTTACAGTGACATAAAAATCTTGCAATGACATAAAATTCGACATTGACACTATGTTTTCCCAAATATATGACATTCTTAGTCACATTTTTGTCCTTTTGTAAGAATGATCACATTTTTGAAAGATGATCTTAGTTTAGTAATATTGAAGGCAAAAAACCCTAAAATTTATTTAAAAAATGGTATTGATGAGTTTTTTATTAACTATGGATAATGTTTGTCAAAGTTAGAGATCAATGATATTGACAATAATATGTAGGTTGCACTTAATGGATAGAAGACATTTATCTTGAATAATAAACTACGTACATGAAAAATGTGTCAATCGTGTCATGACGATAGATCCTTTGATATTTTGTACTACAATATGATAAAAAATACATATATAAAATCATACTGAGTATTATTACATAAAGTTGTATTGAAAGATGAAATAACAAACTTGAATTATACTTTATCTTTTCAACTAGACACGTGGGTTTCGGGGATGAAATCCCAAATGGAGGGGGGTGAACTTGTAACTGTTGGGTGTGTTTCGGAACATAAAGAAAATTAATTAAAATAAATTAATTAAATAAAATTACTAAAGAAAAACAGGAAAGGAGATGAAGCAGAATTAGTCAAAGCTCGTGCTACGCACGATTTCCTTAAAACGTATTTGTTGCCTCCCACGGTGCTAGGAGCGTTGCAACAATCGTTTCCCAGGATACGATGACTACGAACTAATGTTTGAGCACACAAACAAGAGTTCCAGCGAACGAGAACCAAGTATGAACACAGAAGGAAGTTTGCTGAGTAGCTTTAGGTGTTTTTAGCTCAAGAAATTCGTGAGGAATGTAATGTGCGTTGTTTTTGTTGCAAAGCACCTGCCAGCTATTTATAGGAGGATTTGTTGTGTGTTAAATGGGGTGTTAATGGACCTGAACGTTGGACTCCAATGACCAGTCCGTTGGGCATTGAATCATCCATAAACTGTCCATTTAACGTTGCATTAAAAGACAAGAACGTTGGGCATTTAATGGTTGTAACGGCTTGGAGCAGTTCTGGTGCGCGATCAGAATACCCCCATCAGAGGTGGAGCAGTTCTGGTGCGCGATCAGAATACCTCCACCAGAGTTGGAGCAGTTCTGATGATACCATAAGACCTCCACCAGAGTTGGAGCAACCAGATACCGTATGTGGATCGTTGCGCTTACCGCTACACTAAAAGCAATCGCTGATAGTGAAGCACACTCCTCCCCCTTTATAGCACAAGCGAAGCGCCACGCGGTCCGATTGCACCGGCAGGCTGGCTGTTGCTGGCACCGCATACCCGCGGCCCAACAATCTCCCCCCCAGCACCTGCCAGCCTACAACTACGCAGCATGCTGTTGCCGGGGGTCGAACCCGTGACCTTGGCTCTGATATCACTTGTGGATCGTTGCGCTTACCGCTACACTAAAAGCAATCGCTGATAGTGAAGCACGCTCCTCCCCCTTTATAGCACAAGCGAAGCGCCACGCGGTCCGATTGCACCGGCAGGCTGGCTGTTGCTGGCACCGCATACCCGCGGCCCAACACCGTATCTTTGAATGATAGGTTTTCGGACAACATTCGTGTCCGCAAGTCACCCGCGCACACGAGTCGCGGTTTTTCTTCTCCGTTTCGGGATTTGATCGGCACCCCCCCTGCGCGTAAGAGAGAGCCTTTCCCTTTAGGAATCTTAACTCCTTAAAAGAGGCTTCCCTTTATAAGGGGGTGAAAATCCCTTGAGTTTTTCGGTGTGGGATAAAACACACTAGAAACTCACCATTTTCCCAGTTTTTCCATTTCAACGAGTGAACTTCGAGAATCAATTTCTCATTCACCCGTTATCCGTTTTGAGTGTACCATATATCGAATTGTAGCCCTTAACAAGGACAATCCGAAACCACTTTGACCCGACCCAAATCGGAAGTGGACCCCACTCAAATAATTGCCCCAAAATGACCATTTAATTCAATTTTAACACATTTTTCAAACAATCCCCCACATGAATGAAAATTGATTTTCGAGACTTAAAAAGACACGAAGATAGGAGGACACGTTGTGTTCACCGGATGATCCTTGCATACGGAGAGGTAGGTTTTATCCTTTGAACCTTCCGTTGTAAAGACACGTTTATTTACAGGCTGTCTAGTAGACTCGATGTCCTTGAACTATACTGTCGTCGTGTAAACATTGACTTATCTTTACACAAGAACCTTCCAACTTTGTTCCGTTCTCATGGGTGTGCCCGTTTTGGCCATGGGTCACCGTCCTGGTTCTGCAAGAGTTTCTAAAGAACTGAGCCTTTACAGTTCTCCTTTGAAGCGGCCCTCTTCTCTCTCACATAGGTGATTCTTTCACGAGTATCCCGCATACTCTTCCAATGTTATCGAGTAGATCAACATTTTAGAATCATTAAAGCAAACGTTTTTGCTAACCTCGTGCGGGAGTCACTGTTTTAACAAGGAGTGGGTAGGAGTCCGGGACCCCCACAGTGACCATCCTTCGCTCTATAATTTAGTTGTCCCTTTTGAACCTAGGACCAACTAGGTTGGGTATCCACTATAGAACTTTTCAATTCACGGG